CACAGCACCCCCCCATTAGGGTGCCCTGGTACCCATCACCTTGGTATCAGGGCACCAGGGCATCCCAACAGCCTGTATCCATGGCAACGGGGCGCCCCACTACACAGCACCCCCCCATCGGGGTGCCCCGTTACACAGCACCCCCCCATCATGGCACCCTGGTATCCTGCCCCCCCCCATTAGGGTGCCCCAGTACTCTGTACCCCCCCATCAGGGCACTGGGGCATCCCATCACTCCGTATCCATGGCAACAGGGTGCCCTGGTACCCAGCACCCCCCCATCATGGCACCCCAGTACCCAGCACCCTGGTATCAGGGCATCCCATCACCCTGTAGCCATGGCAACGGGGTGCCCTGGTACCCAGCACCCCCTCATTGGGGTGCCCTGGTACCCATCACCTTGGTATCAGGTCACCAGAGCATCCCATCACCCTGTAGCCATGGCAACAGGGCGCCCTGGTACCCAGCACCCCCCCATTGGGGTGCCCCAATACTCTGTACCCCCCCATCATGGCATCCTGGTACACAGCATCCCCCCATTAGGGTGCCCTGCTACCCATCACCTTGGTATCAGGGCACCAGGGCATCCCAACAGCCTGTATCCATGGCAACGGGGCGCCCCACTACACAGCACCCCCCCATCGGGGTGCCCCGTTACACAGCACCCCCCCATCATGGCACCCTGGTATCCTGCACCCCCCCATTAGGGTGCCCTGGTACCCAGCATCCTCCCATTGGGGTGCCCTGGTACCCAGTAGCCCCCCATCATGGCACCAGGGTATCCCACCACCCTGTATCCATGGCAACAGGGCACCCTGGTACCCAGCACCCCAACATCATGGCACCCCAGTACCCAGCACCTTGGTATCAGGGCATCCCATCACCCTGTAGCCATGGCAACGGGGTGCCCTGGTACCCAGCACCCCCTCATTGGGGTGCCCTGGTACCCATCACCTTGGTATCAGGTCACCAGAGCATCCCATCACCCTGTAGCCATGGCAACAGGGCGCCCTGGTACCCAGCACCCCCCCATTGGGGTGCCCCAATACTCTGTACCCCCCCTATCAGGTCACCAGGGCATCCCATCACCCTGTAGCCATGGCAACGGGGCGCCCTGGTACCCAGGATCCCCCCACCATGGCACCCCAGTACCCACCACCCTGTCACCGTGTCACCTTGGCACTCCAGCCCCCTGTCACCATGACAGCCCATCACGGTGACACCGGGACACCCTGTCACCCTGTCACCCCAGCACCCCATCACCCTGTCACCATGGGGTCACCTCACCCTGTCACCAGGGCACCCCATCACCTTGTCACCGTGTCACCTTGGCACTCCAGCCCCCTGTCACCATGGCACCCCATCACCCTGTCACCTTGTCGTCACCCTGTCACCTTGACACTATGGCACCCCATCACCAGGGTGCCCTGTCACCATGGCACCCCATCACCATGACACCAGGACACCCTGTCACCCAGTCACCATGCCACCCTGTCACCTCAACACCCCATCACCTTGTCACCCTGTCGCCTTGGCACTCCACCCCCTGTCACCCTGTCACCTTGTCACCATGTCACCCTGTCACCATGCTACCTTGACACTATGGCACCCCGTCACCATGACACCAGGACACCCTGTCACCCTGTCACCTTGGCACTCCAGCCCCCTGTCACCATGGAAGCCAGTCACCGTGACACCAGGACACCCCAGCACCCTGTCACCCCAGCACCCCATCACCCTGTCACCATGGGGTCACCTCACCCTGTCACCTTGACACCCCATCACCTTGTCACCGTGTCACCTTGGCACTCCACCCCCTGTCACCACGACAACCCATCACAGTGACACCCTGTCACCATGACACCCTGTCACTGTGTCACCCTGTCACCATAGCACCCCGTCACCGTGACACCAGGGCACCCCGTCACCATGTCACTATGTCACCATGGCACCCCATCACCGTGACACCAGGGCACCCTGTCACCCTGTCACCTTGGCACCCCATCACCTTGTCACCCTGTCACCGTGGCATCCTGTCACTATGTCACCCTGTCACCATGCTACCTTGACACTATGATCATGCTACCTGTCACCATGGCAACCCATCACCATGACACCAGAGCACCCTGTCACCCCGTCACCATGCTACCGTGTCACCATGTCACCTCGACACCCCATCACCTTGGCACTCCAGCCCCCTGTCACCATGGCACCCTGTCACTGTGTCACCTTGTCACCCTGTCACCATGCTACCTTGACACAATGGCACCCTGTCACCTTGTCACCGCGTCACCTTGGAACTCCAGCCCCCCAGCACCGTGTCACCCCAGCACCATGACACCAGGGCACCCTGTCACCCAGTCACCCTGTCACCATGTCACCATGGCACCATGGCACCCTGTCACTGTGTCACCCGGTCACTATGGCACCCCATCACCGTGACATCAGGACACCCTGCCACCCAGTCACCATGTCACCTCCACATCCCATCACCTTGTCACCGTGTCACCTTGACACTCCAGCACCACATCACCGTGACACCAGGACACCCTGTCACCCTGTCACCATGCTACCTTGACACTATGGCACCCCGTCACCAGGGCACCCTGTCACCCTGTCACCATGGCACCTTGGCACTCCACCCCCTGTCACCATGACAACCCATCACCGTGACACTGGGACACCCTGGCACCATGGCACCCCAGCACCATGTCACCGTGTCACCCTGGCACCCCGTCACCATCACAGCAGGGCACCCCGTCACCATGTCACTATGTCACCAGGGCACCCTGTCACCATGGCAACCCATCACCCTGTCCCCCTGTCACCATGTCACTATGTCCCCCTGTCACCAGGGCACCCCGTCACCGTGTCACCGTGACACATTGTCACCGTGTCACCGTGTCACCCCACCCCCTCCCACCACCACCCCAAAACCCTCCCAGGCTCAGACCCCCCCGTGAACACACACGTGCCCTCGTGCAAAGGACACACGCACACTCACAAGTGCACACACACACACACACATGCACGTCCAAGCACCCGCCCGCACACACGTGTGAGTTCACACACCCCCCGGCAGTGCACACCCGCTTGTGAGCGCTTGTGCAAAGGGCTGGTGTGGTCCCCCCTCCTCCGCACACATCCCCGTGCGAGGGGTGTGCACCCCCTCGTGAGCACAGCTGTCACACGCGTGTGCAAAGGAGGCCTGGTGCGAGCGAGTGTGTCGCACCCGCGGCGTGTCCCGGCCTCGTGCAAGGCCTTGTGGGTGTGGGGGCTCCTGGTGTGTTGGTGTGTGCCCGTGGCCCCTCGTGAGCACACACCCCCCGTGTGTGAGCACACGCTATTGTGCAAGCCTGCCCGCCGTGCTGTGGGAGCACGCACAGCCCCGTGCGAGTGCACGCCCCTGTGCAAGTGCCCCCCAAGCCCTGGTGCACTCACACTCCCCGTGCAAGTGCCCCAGCCATCGTGCAAGCACGCTCCACTGCACCCACAGCGCCCGTGCAAGCAGAGTCCTGGTGCACCCTCAGCCCTGGTGCGCTCACACTCCCCGTGCAAGTGCCCCCAAACCCTGGTGTGCTCACACTCCCTGTGCAAATGCCCTCCAAGCCCTGGTGCCTCCATCTCTGGTGTGCTCACACTCCCCGTGCAAACACCCCCAATCCCTGGTGCAATCACACTCCCTGTACAAGTGCCCCCAGCCTTGGTGCCCCCATCCCTTGTGCAATCACACTCCCTGTGCAAACACCCTCCATCCCTCATGTGCTCACACTCCCTGTGCAAATGCCCCCAAACCCTGGTGCCCCCATCCCTGGTGCACTCATGCTCCCTGTGCAAACACCCTCCATCCCTGGTGCAATCACACTCCCCGTGCAAACGCCCCCAAGCCCTGGTGCCCTCACACTCCCTGTACAAACACCCCCCATCCCTGGTGCGCTCACACTCCCCGTGCAAACACCCTCCATCCCTCGTGTGCTCACACTCCCCGTGCAAACGCCCCCAAGCCCTGGTGCCTCCATCCCTGGTGCAATCACGCTCCCTGTGCAAACACCCCACATCCCTGGTGCCCCCATCCCTGGTGCTGTCACACTCCCCGTGCAAACACTCCCTGTCCCTCATGTGCTCACACTCCCCGTGCAAATGCCCCCAAGCCCTCGTGGGCTCACACTCCCTGTGCAAGTGCCCTAAGCCTTGGTGCCCCCATCCCTTGTGCACTCACGGTCCCCGTGCAAACACCCCCAAGCTGTGGTATCATCACACCCCCATCCCTGGTGTGCTCACACTCCCCGTGCAAACGCCCTCCAAGCCCTGGTGCAAGCGCAGCCTTGGTGCTCCCATCCCTGGTGCACTCACGCTCCCTGTGCAAATGCCCCCAAGCTGTGGTATCATCACGCTCCCCGTGCAAACCCCCCCCATCCCTGGTGCGCTCACACTCCCCATACAAACACCCCCCATCCCTCGTGTGCTCAAACTCATCACACTCCCCAAGCCCTGGTGCAAGCACAGCCCTGGTGCCCCCATCCCTGGTGTGCTCATGCTCCCCGTGCAAACCCCTCCCCATCCCTGGTGTGCTCACACTCCCCGTGCAAACCCCTCCCCATCCCTCGTGTGCTCACACTCCCCATGCAAACACCCCCCATCCCTGGTGCCCCCATCCCTGGTGCACTCACACTCCCCGTGCAAACACCCCCAAGCTGTGGTATCATCACACCCCCCGTGCAAACCCCTCCCATCCCTGGTGCGCTCACGCTCCCCATGCAAACACCCCCAAGCCATAGGAACATCACACTCCCCGTGCAAACCCCTCCCCATCCCTGGTGTGCTCACACTCCCCGTGCAAACACCCTCAAGCCCTCACATCATCACGCTCCCCGTGCAAGTGCCCCTGAAGTCCTGGTGCACTCACGCTCCCCATGCAAACACCCCCAAGCCCTGGTGCTCTCCTCCTCCCCGTGCAAACCCCTCCCCGTGCGCTCCCCCTCCCCGGTGCCGTCACCCACCCTCCTGTGCGCGGGCGAGGGTCCCGAAGGAGCCCAGCCCCTCTCTGGCCAGGAAGCCCCCGAAGACGCCTGGGGGGAAGGGGTCTCCTCCGACCTGGGTGGACTCCTCCACCCGCACCTCGCGCGTGGTCTCTCCGCCCCGCGTCTTGCTGATCTCCGTGCGCTCCGTGCGCGTGTACGTGTGGCTGCTCCGCGTGAAGCTGCGCGTCAGGCGCTCCTGCGCCGACACCATCTGGAACCAGTTCCCTACCAGGGACAGGGGGACAACCCAACAGGGGGGGACAACCGGAGAGAGGGGGGGAGGGGACACAGGGAGGCACGGAGGGGATGGGGAAGGAGGGGTGGTGGTGTGGGGGGAGGGGGGGATGGAGATGGAGGGGGGGAGGGAGGGATGGAGATGGAGATGATGGAGATGGAGATGATGGATGGAGGGATGGATGGAGATGGAGATGGAGATGGAGATGATGGAGATGGAGATGATGGAGAAGGAGATGGAGATGGAGATGGAGGTGGAGATGGAGATGGAGAAGGAGATGGAGATGGAGATGGAGATGGAGATGGAGGGAGGGAGGGAGGGATGGGGAGATGGATGGATGGATGGAGGGAGGGATGGACATGGAGATGGATGGAGATGGAGATGATGGATGGAGGGATGGATGGAGATGGAGATGATGGAGATGAAGATGATGGAGAAGGAGATGACGGAGATGGAGATGAGGATGGGGATGGAGATAGGGATGGAGATGGAGATGAAGATGGAGATGGATGGAGGGATGGATGGAGATGGTGATGGAGATGGAGATGATGGAGATGGAGATGATGGAGAAGGAGATGGAGAAGGAGATGGAGGTGGAGAAGGAGAAGGAGAAGGAGATGGAGATGGAGATGGGGATGGAGATGGAGATGATGGAGAAGGAGATGGAGAAGGAGATGGAGATGGAGATGGGGATGGAGATGGAGATGATGGAGAAGGAGATGGAGAAGGAGATGGAGATGGAGATGGGGATGGGGATGGAGATAGGGATGGGGATGGGGATGGGGATGGATGGGGATGGAGATGGATGGAGGGATGGATGGAGATGGAGATGATGGAGATGGAGATGATGGAGATGGAGATGATGGAGAAGGAGATGGAGAAGGAGATGGAGGTGGAGAAGGAGAAGGAGAAGGAGATGGAGATGGAGATGGAGATGGAGATGGAGATGATGGAGATGGAGATGGATGGAGGGAAGGAGGGATGGGGAGATAGATGGACATGATGGAGATGGAGATGGAGATGATGGGTGAAGAGGTGGATGGAGGGATGGATGGAGATGGAGATGATGGAGATGATGGAGATGGAGATGGAGGAATGGATGGAGATGGATGGAGAGATGGATGGAGAGATGGATGGAGATGGAGGTGGAGGTAGAGATGGAGATGGAGATGGATGGAGAGGTGGATGCACATGGATGGAGGGATGGATGGATAAATGGATGGAGATGAAGAAGGAGATGATGAAGATGGAGATGGAGATGGAGGTGATGGAGATGGAGGTGATGGAGATAGATGGAGAGGTGGATGGACATAGATGGAGGGATGGAGGTGGAGGTAGAGATGGAGATGGAGATGGATGGAGAGGTGGATGCACATGGATGGAGGGATGGATGGATAAATGGATGGAGATGAAGAAGGAGATGATGAAGATGGAGATGGAGATGGAGGTGATGGAGATGGAGGTGATGGAGATAGATGGAGAGGTGGATGGACATAGATGGAGGGATGGAGGTGGAGGTAGAGATGGAGATGGAGATGGATGGAGAGGTGGATGCACATGGATGGAGGGATGGATGGATAAATGGATGGAGATGAAGAAGGAGATGATGAAGATGGAGATGGAGATGGAGGTGATGGAGATGGAGGTGATGGAGATAGATGGAGAGGTGGATGGACATAGATGGAGGGATGGATGGATGAAAGGATGGAGATGGAGATGATGGAGATGGAGATGGAGGGATGGATGGAGATGGAGGTGGAGGTGGAGGTGGAGGGATGGATGGAGATGGAGATGGAGATGGAGATGGAGATGGACATGAATGGAGGGATGGATGGATGAATGGATGGAGATGGAGATGATGGAGATAGAGATGATGGAGAAGGAGGTGATGGAGATGGAGATAGATGGAGGGGTGGATGGACATGAATGGAGGGATGGATGGAGATGGAGATGACGGAGATGGAGATGACGGAGATGGAGATGGAGATGGAGATGGAGATGGAGATGGAGATGGAGAGGGAGGGAGGGAGGGAGGGAGGGATGGGGAGATGGAGATGATGGAGAAGAAGGAGAAGGAGAAGGAGAAGGAGAAGGAGAAGGAGAAGGAGAAGGAGAAGGAGAAGGAGAAGGAGAAGGAGAAGGAGAAGGAGAAGGAATGGATGGAGATGGATGGAGAGATGGATGGAGAGATGGATGGAGATGGAGGTGGAGGTAGAGATGGAGATGGAGATGGATGGAGAGGTGGATGCACATGGATGGAGGGATGGATGGATAAATGGATGGAGATGAAGAAGGAGATGATGAAGATGGAGATGGAGATGGAGGTGATGGAGATGGAGGTGATGGAGATAGATGGAGAGGTGGATGGACATAGATGGAGGGATGGATGGATGAAAGGATGGAGATGGAGATGATGGAGATGGAGATGGAGGGATGGATGGAGATGGAGGTGGAGGTGGAGGTGGAGGGATGGATGGAGATGGAGATGGAGATGGAGATGATGGAGATGGAGATGGAGATGGACATGAATGGAGGGATGGATGGATGAATGGATGGAGATGGAGATGATGGAGATAGAGATGATGGAGAAGGAGGTGATGGAGATGGAGATAGATGGAGGGGTGGATGGACATGAATGGAGGGATGGATGGAGATGGAGATGACGGAGATGGAGATGGCGGAGATGGAGATGGAGATGGAGATGGAGATGGAGATGGAGATGGAGATGGAGATGGATGGAGGGAGGGATGGGGAGATGGATGGATGGATGGATGGAGATGGAGATGATGGAGATGGAGATGGAGATGATGGAGATGGAGATGACAGAGATGGATGGAGAGTGGATGGAGATGGAGATGGAGATGGATGGAGATGGAGATGATGGATGGAGGGATGGATGGAGATGGAGATGATGGAGATGGAGATGGATGGACATGGAGATGATGGAGATGAAGATGATGGAGAAGGAGATGACAGAGATGGAGATGGGGATGGGGATGGATGGAGGGATGGATGGAGATGGAGATGGAGATGATGGAGATGGAGATGATGGGTGGAAGGACATGGATGGAGGAATGGATGGAGATGGAGATGATGGAGATGGAGATGGAGATGATGGAGATGGAGATGACAGAGATGGATGGAGAGTGGATGGAGATGGAGATGGAGATGGATGGAGATGGAGATGATGGATGGAGGGATGGATGGAGATGGAGATGATGGAGATGGAGATGGATGGACATGGAGATGATGGAGATGAAGATGATGGAGAAGGAGATGACAGAGATGGAGATGGGGATGGGGATGGATGGAGGGATGGATGGAGATGGAGATGGAGATGATGGAGATGGAGATGATGGAGAAGGAGATGGAGAAGGAGAAGGAGATGGAGATGGAGATGGAGATGGAGATGATGGAGATGGATGGAGATGGAGATGATGGAGATGATGGAGATGGATGGAGATGGAGATGATGGAGATGGAGATGACAGACATGGAGATGGGGATGGGGATGGAGATGGAGAGATGGATGGAGATGGAGATGGTGGATGGACATGGATGGAGATGGAGATGGAGATAGATGGAGATGGAGATAGATGGAGATAGATGGAGAGGTGGATGGACATGGATGGAGGGAGGGAGAGATGGGGAGATGGATGGATGGAGGGATAGACGGAGACGGAGACGGAGACGGAGATGGAGATGAAGGAGAAGGAGAAAGAAGGAGAAGGAGAAGGAGAAGGAGAAGGAGAGATGGATGGAGGGAGGGATGGATGAATGGATGGAGATGGAGATGATGGAGATGGAGATGACAGACATGGAGATGGGGATGGGGATGGAGATGGAGAGATGGATGGAGATGGAGATGGTGGATGGACATGGATGGAGATGGAGATGGAGATAGATGGAGATGGAGATAGATGGAGATAGATGGAGAGGTGGATGGACATGGATGGAGGGAGGGAGAGATGGGGAGATGGATGGATGGAGGGATAGACGGAGACGGAGACGGAGACGGAGATGGAGATGAAGGAGAAGGAGAAAGAAGGAGAAGGAGAAGGAGAAGGAGAAGGAGAGATGGATGGAGGGAGGGATGGATGAATGGATGGAGATGGAGATGATGGAGATAGAGATGATGGAGAAGGAGATGATGGAGATGGAGATGATGGAGATGGAGATGGAGATGGAGAGATGGATGGACATGGATGGAGGGAGGGATGGATGGATGAATGGATGGAAATGGAGATGATGGAGATGGAGGTGATGGAGATGGAGGTGATGGAGATAAATGGAGAGGTGGATGGACATGGATGGAAGGAGGGAGGGATGGAGGTGGATGGAGACATGGATGGATGGAGATGGAGAGGGATGGATGGATGGATGGATGGAGATGGAGAGGGATGGATGGAGATGGAGATGATGGAGATAGATGGAGAGGTGGATGGATATGGATGGAGGGATGGATGGAGATGATGGATGGAGAGGTGGATGGACATGGATGGAGGGATGGAGGGGTGGATGGAGACGTGAATGGAGGGATGGATGGATGGAGGGGTGGATGCAGGGTTGGATGGACAGAGGGATGGACGGACACATGGGTGGACGGAGACACGGAAGTAGGGGTAGATGCAGGGTTGGCCGGACGTGGGGATGGGTGGAGACGGGGATGACCCGGAGGACGAGCAGACACGTGTGGGGTCAGATGGACACGCG